GATGATGATGATGATGATGATGATGATGATGATGATGATGATGATGATGATGATGATAACAATAAATATATCAGGGTAGCAACTCGAACATCAGTTGTGACAACACTAAAACAACAACAACAGCAGCAGCAGCAACCACTATAACAACAACAACCACAGCAACAACAACTACACAGCCACAATTAGGCAATATAACTGCTGAAGATTTGAGGTGTTACATGATAGTAACAAAAACAAAGAACCCATCAAAACAACAACAAAAACAAAATAATAAATAAACAAATAAATAAAATAGGAGAGAAAAGGATGATAGCTGTTAGATAGGGGAAAAAAGAGCAAACCGTACCAAAGCACCCGCTAACCATCCTTTTTGAACGGTAGTTTTGAACTCAACAACATGTAAATTATTTCCAAAACAGAAAGAGTTCAACATGAAATTCATGCAAAAGACACCTTGTTATAACTGGTATTAAAAGAGGTATAATTTATTAATTTTTGTACATACATAATTTAAAGAGGGAAAAAAACAGACTTGATTTACAATCATGTCCATGTAAACGTGAAAAAAATTCCGTGTACTTTGGCGAGAGCTTCGTCACCAAACATTTAATCGCTGGCCAGCAGTTATAATGTACTAAGCCCAAAATAGATATTGAATTTTTAAATAGCAGTTTCTTAATTTGTAGAGTAGGTTTCAGGTGCTCAATAAATATTTTTATCGAAATTCAAATTCTAAACATTAAAAACAAGCAAAAAAACAACAACCATAATGTAGGTATAGTATTGTTTAAAGAATAAAACCTTTTTTTCCTCCCCTGTTAAAAAAAACGTGTTTAATTACTGAAAGTCAAATTAAAGATTATACTTGAGAAGTTTAAAAGAATCCTCATCTCTTTTTCTTCTTTGTTTCTTTTTGTCTTTTCAGGTTATGTTTTGTTTTGTTTTGTTTTGTAATTCATGTCTTTAAGCTTAAGTGTCACCTTCAACATCTGGCTGTTCCATAATCACACCAAGAATTTCCGGTTGCGGGAGAAAATTCGTCCTCTTGATGCAGCTGACCAGAACTCTCATCTCAAGATGTTGTTTGTTTTTTTGCTGGAGAGAGAGAGAGAGAGAGAGAGAGAGAGAGAGAGAGAGAGAGAGAGAGAGAAGGGGAGAAGGGGAGAAGTGTGTGGGGGGCGGGGGTCATTTGAGTTTAAAACTCTCATGCTTGATTGGATTGCAAGAAAGGAAGAAACCTGACTGCGTGAACTAACGAAAAAACAACAACTCACGGCAGAACTATTTTGCAGTATTGACCTGACGGGCACGGCCTTGTTATATAATATTATTTGTTTGTTGTTTAAAGGACTGGGACAAGTTCTTGTGGGTATGACAGTTGGGGCGTAAACAAGACGCCTCTGGAGTGTAGGATTAGGGTGCTGGCTATTAAAAACGCTGGTGAGGAAAAAGTACAGTATGATATCTTTGTCATGATGGGTGAAGAATAAAACAGGACGTTTGGTAAGAAATAAGAAAATCCTTCAGATCGCTCTTATGCAGACGAACTTCTTGAGCATCGTTCAAGGTGACTTGTGACGTATCGCGCAACTTTAGGGTGAATGCAGCGGACAGAGCCATGGCTTTTTGTTATTCTTAGTTTTCACCTGAGGAAAGGAAGTAATCCACATTGAAACTATAATGTATATACATGAGGTGCAGTCAATTTGTCAACTCTCGGTAAACGTAAAACCGTCATCACCAGATAGAAAAAAACCCCTCATAGACATAGTAAAAGAAAGGAAAGATTGACACGCTTTTCTTTCACAAACACACACGCAACGCTTTAAGTAGCAGCTCACGGACTTGCTTAAAATACATACCTTTATAATGAGAAAAATTACAATATGCGGTTCGACGGCTCCAAAGAAAAGGGAAGACCGAGAACAGGACAGATGGAAGGAGTCAAGCGAGCCTTTCAAAGACACAACATGACGACCCGAAAAGCAAATACACCTGGCCCACGTCCGTCAACTACATATATCTCCTCTCGACAACTGACAGTACAACAGGATAGAAATTAATAAAGAAATAGATCGTAATAAGAGAAGCACACAATAGATGAAGTCAAAGTATGGCGATCTGGAAGAAGAAAACAAGGGTTTGGGAGACGCCAATTCTATGTCAGGCAAAAGCTGAAACCTACACGTGAACGTAAATGTACCGGAGACAGATTGTACCTCTTGAAAAAGGCAATTCGGGTTTAAAGGGGCGTTGGTTGAAGTCTCCACTGGCCGAGTTGTGACATTAGGCCCACAAAAAATGTCAAGCATACGTCGGTCACAAAGTGTTGATTAAGATGTGCGTTCATTGAGATGTATCTTTGTTAAAGAAACGATAACCCCAGATAAAAACGAACACACACACACACACACACACACACACACACACACACACACACACACACACACACACACACACACACACACGGGCCCCGCTCAGAGACGACCAGCAATAGGGTGCTTGTTGTAAACCTGTGTATTTCAGTTAGTATGTAGCTATGCATTTATATATATTTAGATACCGTTTTTCTGTACATATGCATAGCACACGTTACACTATTGTATAACAGCTCTGATGCGTTTATTCCTTCTTTCCTATCACTATTAAACATTTCTCGTCCTTATTTCTCCTCCTTCTTTGTTGAGTTTGTTATTCTATCTACGGCACTTACATGACATAATCGTGTAGCAAGTGCCGTAAAACTCTTGCTAAAACTTCTAAACCAAATGTCTCCGCTGGGAGTAATAAACGTGGAACTTTGTTATGTTTCTATTTATTACATTTTGATCCAAAGGAAACCTCAACGCAAAAGAGTACAATCATAATCATTACGACGTACTTTAAACACAGGCATCCACATCTGCAGCACCAGCGTCGTTTGTTCTCTAGCTGCATCTGTTCATTCACATTGCCGAAGCTATCCCTTCGGAGTTTCGACTGAAAAACGACAGTGTGTAAAGTTTGAGAGACACGGTCTGCCATATCCATGTGTGTTTGCGCGTATGTGTGTGTATTTGTGTGTGTGTGTGTGTGTGTGTGTGTGTATTTGTGTGTGTGTGTGTGCAAAGAGTAGTTTGGTGGTAAGACAGCCCTCTCTTCACATTCATCTCTGGGGGGGAAAAGACAACAAAATCTTGAGATTAACGAAGCACATCTTTCCCAATGTCACAATATAGCGCAAGGAAATTACAAGATGCCAGGGGGAAAAAAGCCTGAAAAGGGTGTGCTTTGGGGTAGACAGAACATAGATGGATAGAAAAAACAATTTTGTTATGAGTGCAAGGGCATGGTATGAGATATGAGTACACGAAAATGAAAAAAAAGATACCAGTCTCTTTCCACAACAAAATGAGAATAAGTCATTTTACGAAAAGAAAACTAAAAAGTATAAAAAGCCAAGCCAAATTTGTTAATGCCCTTGGACTGAATGGATCATATTTACAAGCATACTCGAAAGATGTAATCTTGTATGAATGAATAAATCTTATTCACTAACAAAAACAACTGAAACACCCGCTGAAAAACAATTAATTTCCGCGACAACGAAACTGTTAGAACGTAAAATATGATGTCCACACCTGGTTTGCCTACTGCAATTACATGTACACATGTATAGCAATAGTTATGTCACCTGGAAGGGTTCTGACGAGTTTTCACGTATCGAAAAGAACGATCTGGTGTTCTCGGCAGAGCCCCCGACGCTTGGTGCGTAGCTCACTTCGTCGTTGAATCGGACCTTCTCCTCTTTTCGCTGACGGGGTTTCTGGGGGTCTTCGTCTGTAGAAGTTCAGCCAACGTACGATAAGATAAGATAAGACAAGATAAGACAAGATGGATGCAACATTCCAGAAGAACCCCCCCCCCCCCCGAGATACACGACAAACCGTTCTCCCCACTCAGGAATAGAACTCCGGCCCCTGTATGAGACAGCATAGCACCCAACCGTTACTCCACAAACGCTGGCGCTCTTTGTCTGATTCTGTTCAACTATGTTAAACTTTGAACTTGACCCAGAAAATAGTTGAGTTTCCGAAGTTGGAACATCCCCACTCCATCCCTTTCTTTACAGGACGCCGGACTGAAACCCCACTCCCCCCCCTCCCCAAACTCTCTGAAAGTTTGCTGCACCACATTCAACTTAAATAAACATCGATCGACTCAGAGCTTGGAAATGAAGAAAAAACGATTCAAATTCCGAATTAAACGGTAATGTCTTCTATGTCTTGCCTGCGTTGTCATGAAGACGTTGACCTGCAGAACGTAACGTCTCGCTCTACAACAGAATGCGAAACATACGAGATCGTCATTCTCGAAGATCGTGGTCATAGTCTCACTAACAGGCTTACTGTACCAGAGTCTGAGAGGACGTAATAGTCATAATAATAGCTGCGTCCGTCAATGTCTGACGATGACCAATACATCCGCAGAGGAGAATATTTCTCCAGCGAAATAGAAGAATTTGAAAAATTAAAGGTTATGATTATTGTGCCTTCTACTATTTTTGTTTGTTTGTTTGCTTGTCTGTTTGTTTTGTGGCCAATGAGACCAACTCTGACAGAGAAACGTTTGCCACATTTTGAACGTAATTTAAAGGCTCCACTTCTACTTGTTGACATTATGCGGAGCTTGAGGGCTTCTCTCTTGATTTGACTTGCGCAAAGATTTGTTTAAAGTGAGAAAAAGCAGTTAAAACATCAGACTTACTCTCTCGCTTAAATACGAAGTAGTGCAATATAACAGTCAAGCATGTTGAGTTTTACCATACATTTTGTATATGATCTCCGTCTGTCTGTTGATATATGTATGCTGTTTCCCACTCAGCCCTATTTGTCTGACAAGCAAAGTCAAAGTAGCGCGTCTCCTAGATAATCCAAACAGTGTCCATTGGGGTGTAACACTTTTATAACCACTAAAAGGCTTATTAGTGTTCCTAGAGAGTTTAAAAGTTATGTTAGTTCATGCTACTATGATGCTACACGGCAGAACTCTGACTCCTGACTTTGAAGCCGATATGGTAACTAATGTCTTACCTTCTGGCCTCGACTTCAAGACGGATATCAGGGGACGGCCCGTTCCATTCTCGCTCATGCTACCACGGCAGCATATCCCGCAAGCCGCAAAACTGGGCAGGTTTGGAGTGGGTGTTGGGGATTGGAAGTCAACGAAGCAGAAGAATAAATTAACGTTGTTTTACTATGCATGAATCAACGAAAAAGATCTTCGTCAGGTGTTTCCAGAGTTCCTCCTTCACCACGAGCCACTCTGTTTTTATTTATTGTTTTAGTATTTGCGCATTATTTTAGTTTTCATCGTTGCAAGTATAATCGAGGGACACGACGGTATGTTTACGATAAATTATATTTACGATAAATGAGTTTATCGTTTTTCAAATTCGTTTTGCCATAAACAAAAGAACCGCTACAGTCAAATACCGTAGTGAAAGTAATTTGCGTACTCTGATTGAGAGGTGTTTAACTATCGGCTCGAAGACCAATATTGGACCGTAAACCGATATCCTCTAGCCCTCGAAGCACTACCTATCATGCTAAAATTTCTCAGCTATCTATCTGGGGGAAAATAGTAACATTTGTTTTGAAAAATCAGTCTCAAGTGACTGCATTTTTATCTTCCTTAACCAATCATGTTTTTGTAAGGCTTCAAGTCATAATTAATGGCTTTTTTGTCAATCCGATCGTCTCCATCCCAAAGAAGATAATAAAAACAAATTATTTGTTCTGGTAGGCTATAGCTTTGGTGTCAAGAGTTTGGGCCTGCTTTTGAATCACTTCATAAATCTATTACGAGAGAGAAAAGTTCAATCACAGTTATTCAGTACGAACACTCTCAAGCACCATTACCAGATCTTGAAAGCCTAGATCTAGATCTAGAATCTAGATCTAGATATACTTTTACCTTAGTGTTACGGAAGAAATATTCTTATGTACATGCCAGCTAATGGTAAAAAAAAACCCTCATCTGTATACATATTAATTGGAAACCTTACTTCAAAAGTCAATTCACATCATTCTACGTTCATGGAATCCTAAAAACAAAAATGGTTACGCCATTTTGCCGGAAGACCGGAAGTGGGGCAAAACGTGGTCAACCTATGCTTGCACTTTTGTGCACCGCCAGAATATCTTGGTGAGTTAGTAGGAGAGAGGGGGAGGCCATAGATTTGTGATTTCATTGTTCTAGTCAATAGTCGAAGCCGACAAAACCTAATGTCTACCCTCCATGTCTCTCTTTGAAGAGTCACTTTTTATGCAGGTCTTTGCTCAACCCCATTGCCAAGACTTAGACAATAATTTAGGAGGCAGGCCTGTCAGGGCCAACCCGGGCTAAAACAGAGATGCAAAGTTCCAGCAGAAAGACAGATACCTGATAGAAATTCTACCCATTCGGGAATCGAACTCGCACTTCCTGTGTGATATAGTAAAACGCCTAACGGCTACACCACAGACGCAGGTCGGTGTCACTTTAAAAGAATAGTAGGCTACAATCTATCTGTCTATTTATATATCTGTGTGTGTGTGTGTGTGTGTGTGTGTGTGTGTGTGTGTGTGTGTGAGAGAGAGAGTGTGTGTGTGAGTGTGCGTGTGTGTGTGTGTGTGAGTATGGCTGTGTGTGAGTGTGTATGTGTGTGTATGAGTGTGTGTGTGAGTGTGTGTGTGTGAGTGTGTGTGAGTGTGCGTGTGTGTGTGTGTGTGTGTGAGTATGTCTGTGTGTGAGTGTTTATGTGTGTATGTATGAGTGTGTGTGCGCGAACATACCTACTAGTGGACGCTAAAGGGCGTTGGTCGACTATGTTGTTGGCTCTCGAGAAGTTAACCGTGTTTACATACGACTCCTTTTCCCTTCTGAATGGTGAAAAAGTGAAAGGGAATCCTCTTCTTGGCGTTTGTCTTCTTGGCTTTCCTGCTTTATAAACTGCATCTCAGTTTGCTTGTCTAGGTTATCTCCCTTTGATCGTGCTGGTCAGTCTGCAAGTCCGATCTGTGATTTTGATGTGCTTTTCTGGACTAATTAGAAAGTAAGCTATAGGCCCCATCGTATTATCCAGCTCCCTAGGCATCTCGGGCAAACAAGATTAGGCTGGCAATTGTTGTTGTTGCGGGATCAATAAGTGCTCAGAAGGAGACAATGAGGTTGGCATCAATGACAACCCCCCCAAAAAAAAAATTAAAAAATTTTAAAAATCCGCAGACAAAAGCAAAAAGAAACTGACCGTCAAAAAGCTGAACGCCAAAAAAAAAAAAATGAAACAAAATTTGAATGAGGAACTCACTAAACGCCTGTCAAGGTACCATGATATTTATGCAGTGTCTTATTAGACTTAAAGCTACATAATAATATAAGAGAGAGAGAGAGAGA